GCAGCAAGCATAGAAAGTGCCAAAACTGATCACAAAGTCAGTGCTCGAATTCAACTTATCGGTCATATTGAAAAGCTTTCCCGTCGCCTGCGGAATGCTTAGCTCAGCAGCCGACAGTACAAACGCTCTACTCCATCACCGATCTGTTGCTTGATGGCGCTGCAGATCATTCTTCTATCGACAGCACGTTCCTGACGTTATGTCGCCTGCCTGTTGGAGCGAAACAGAGCAAATGTCGGCCAAAAGGCCAACATGGAACATTGAGGTACAAGGTAGAGGTAGTTCCGTTACAGTGTCGTATCTCATGCTTCATTACAAAAGTGTTGAATGGCTGCAAGTACAGAGAACATCACAAACCAGAGACGTTCGGCTTATGCAAACCGTTTAAGGTAATGATCTCAACAAGTAAACAACAACAGCATATTGCCTTCATAACTGTCACACGACGCTGTTTCCCGCAATTGTTTTTAACACAATACATGAAACATTTACGAACGTACTGCCTTTCGCACATTTGACAGTCAACTGACAATATGAACAGTAATTCATTTTGCTTCATCATCTTTTGCTTGGCGATTGACAGTCATCAAGTGAATGACTGACTGTAAGTAGTACGCAAATGGCAAACCTCTCAAAGGTTTCCATCATTCTTATTGAGCAGTCATAGCAGCACACTCTGCTAACTCTAATTAAGGAAACTGTTTTCCTATGGCACAGATTTTGACCACTCCTGACTATTAATAGCTCGACTCGTGTTTGTAAGCTACTAACCGGTTGTTCAGTCTGCAAGACTTTCGAATATTCTGAAGTCGCTCGTCATTATACGAGTTCAGTCTGATAAAAACTCGATTTAAGGAGTGGCGTCTGATGCTGAGGAAGAAAGCAGAGATAAGTTTAAAAATATTTTCATGATCAAAAACTTCATTTTATGAATATGTATACACGAATAACGCACGAAGGATTTACTTTCGTACACTGCTCTGCTACAGGCTAATATTTTGGAATAAATTTTGTCCTAGACGTTGGTTTATCGAATATTGCTTTTCGTTATAAATTAGACACGAATCTGCACAAACTGAAGAACAAATAAATAACAGAACCATAAGGATAATAAGAATTAAGTCTTATAATCGAAAGTTTTTAAAGCCGGCCTAGTCTACCTACAGAAAGGAAGTCACTTAGCCGACAGGAGTCGCTATGGCCTATCTCCATACTTGAGCTAAGGAATCATAAATTTGAGAGCGACAGCCGAAAACGCGCGCTTAAACTGATATCACCTCGTCATCCGTTCAGAGTCATAGTGCCTTGATATAATCAAAGAAAAGTGACATTTAGTTCAAAATGACTCAGTTTGAAATGGTGAGATATATCGGAGCGTTAGACGCCAATTCGAAGTTCATTGAGGTTAACAATGAAAGATCTCAGGTTAATATTCAGCAATCATTTCATTTGAAGAATGGGAAAGCAATGCAAAGAAGAGTGCCGCAACTTTCTTCCGTGTTCCATGATGTTTCTACTATGCGTAGTTCCTACCTACTGCAATGAGCCCACCCACGTTAAAAAGATCACATCAGGTGCTGGCTCAAGATCCACTGCAGACAGAGTGAGATAGTAGAGGCTCTGGTTGTAGGAACATTTGTTTTTGCCTAAAGAAAACTAGAAAACTTTGCGAGATGATATTTGTCCATTCTAGACATTTAGTACTGAGAGACATGGCCAATGCTGTTTCAGAATAGGTGCTGCGAGAAACCACTTCGGCATGCGATGTAGAATAGATGCCTTTCGTAACTCCTTGATGTCCTTAATCATTTTATCATTTGATGCATAAGCGACAAACATACAGGTTAAATTTTTTGAAGCAGGCCTGCACCATTTCTTTCACCTGCCTTTTTGCTATTTATTCTTTCACTGCACTGTAGATTGTGCTTCTATGAATGCTTTGTTTACTGAATATGATTTTGATGGCCGGTTAACTTAAACTAACAAATTTTCATCTTTGTCAAAAATGACGTTTCACCGATTCTCGGCACAAGGAATAAACAGATGGTAGAGTGTTTATTGGAACTGCTAACGCGCCTGCTGAGCTACGTTGACCATTCTCGAGGCAAACAGAATGTTTGTTCTGAGGGCCAGCGCTATTTGCCTGAAACATAAGCAGTTCTAATAAAGTTTAATAATCGGTCAATGTTTCTAGAAGCACTGAAACGTCATTTTCATCGAAAAAGAGGGCGGAAGTGAAATGGTTTTTAAAGTCACTTCTTTTCCGGTTTTTCTTTATTTCCTTCTTTTTCATTGTTTCATTCTTCAAATATGATTTGTGACTTTTAATGCTGCAGTCTGTATGTTTAATAAAGGTGTCCTTCTCTAGACAGATTTAAAAGATTAGGAAAATTATGGTTATGTTTACCCCGTTAAACATGCTTCACTGTCAAGCGGCTTTCTAAAATTTCCTATGAAAACCTTCATGACCATTTTTCTTTCTAAAAAATACAATCCACAGTACCTTTCACTCGTCCCCACTCAAGAAATTAGCGTGGATGAAATTACATGATTTTAATAAGGAGCACACGTTACCTGTAAAGAACTTTAATGTTCATGCTGTGTGCTTGGTATAAAGTTTGTAACCATTATTCGTTATGGCTGCAAACTTGATTTTAATTTGCCTTAAATAACTGTTGTGGAACTGCGCTTCTTCTTCTTATTTGTTTGTAGCCTTAAATCATTGCGATGACATCGCTTAAATAAGCAATGTCACACAACGTGATTACGAAATCCAAATTATTGTTCAAAGCCTTTGCTGAAAATATGATTCATTTTTGTACACGGCCTCCATTCATGAGGTTTTCATCGACGAGTGTTCATCTGTTTCATTTTTATGTTTCGAAGCATGTTGGATCGTTTTGTTCACCAGCAATGCCGCATTATGATGACAGCAGCTGTGTTGCGATGTGAGTAAACTATTTCTTCTTCTTCATCTTCTTCTTTATTCGAGCTCCGTTGAAATCTGTCCAGGCCATAAACTGTTACCCATTTCTCGTTTGCGCCACCCAAACTCAGGTAACACAGTCGTCTGATCATTTTGTGTCAAGGGAAAATTAAAACACTAAAATTGACGCGTTTCGGGGTCAGATGATTAACGACAAGATATATAATTTTAGACAATAATTTGTGAGACATTTCCGAACTTTTGACTATTCAAATCGTAGAATCAACGGCACCATATTTCGCCTTCTTCAAATCATCCATTCAGCATAAATTAGTTCTTTGTTTGGGTTAGCCAACGAGCCTATTTTCTAAAGTCACAGGGAAGATGGCACAAGAAAATGATTTCGTCGTTTGAAGATTCATGACAAACTTCACAATTACGGAAAAATGCCGTCCAGCGTGATATACTGTCTATTATTATAGTTAGACGTTTGTTGATATCGTTGCAATAAGTCCTTCGCATGTGCACTGCGTCTCTGGTTTGTGACGTCCACTGTATTAGCAGCTTTTCTACACCTTTGCTACAAGGCACTGATTTCTACGGCGCAGAAGGGAATTTCCTCTTTCTCCTCTGCGAAAGCAGATCTGCCTCTAGCTTGTGTGTGTCCTCATGTTGTATACTGATCCTCCTGATCGACGTCTGCCATGTTTCGGATCCCACACGTGAAATTCACAAACTGCGGCAAATGGTGCATACTCAGCCAGTTTGTCCAACAAGGCCAACATCCTTTTTTTAATCTTCGTATCAAATGTGGTCACGTGCGCCTAAGAGAAAATAAAGTAGTTCCTTACGTGGTCCTGCCATTTAACTCTCAATATGCATCGAGGACAACGCTGCTTTACGCAATTCAACTGTAGTTCTTGATCTTTCATGAAATCCACTGTCTCCATGCCGCGCAACAACACTGACTGTCAGAGACATGGCACTGGCGGGTTTTTGAGGAAACAGATGCTCCTTTTTGGGCCTAAAATTTAAATAGGTTTCCAAAAGCAGTCGAAACTTGGGCGACTCTGGCTGGGTGGCACCATCATTGGAGACGATGGAGACGAGACACGTGAATTGGTCATTGTCTCAAAGTTGTTCATCCCTGTTGCACTTATAAATCAGTAGTGCCATAGGGGCTACTGATACGTTTTGATTTCCGGACGTTGATATAAACAGCGACCATCGCAGCTGGGCATAGTGAAACGAAATAGACAGCCATTCTTACCATTCACCAGAACAATATCATCTACCTACTCCAGGTCAGCAAGATATCTTTCTGGATATGAGCGAGATACCTTTCTTGAGCTATGTCCCTAGGACGCGAACTTAACATTCGTTTTATCAGCCCTTTACATTGGTCGCTGCCACCTCTCAGTAACGTTACAACCGAGGTTGGATATTCAGAAAGCATATTATTAGCGGCCCCACACGAAAACGTCGCACTCAATGATATCATTTTAAAGCATTGCTTTCTTGTCATCGACGGGTTCCTTATGCTTTCATGCTCATTACCTTTTTCTTATATGGTTTGACTGTCGCTTCATCATTTCTTCAAAGCCTTTTCAATCACCCCCACCCCGCCCCCAACTACCTGTATTGCTTGTGCCCTAACATGTGCGCGTTTATGATCATTCTACTGCGCTAGTATCGAAGTGGATCAATCGACGTTTACTCCTTCGGTATTTTTCGTTTACCCTGTTCCATTTAGACATCGCAAGGAAAACCACCGCTCCCAAGGACATGGAAATTTGCTCTCTGCAACTGCATACTGATGAGAATGTTGCTTGTGTCCGACACCAGTCATTTGACATGTTTCGATAGCATTGAATCAACTGGTGTGTCGTCTGGCTCTGGTGTTGTTCGGTGATGTTTATCTGCTTTTTGAGGCACTTTAGACAGCTATCTAAAAGCAGTTTTTACTCGATGAAACTTCGTTTTACATTTGGTGAACTGCATAATAAGATAGTATTTCAGCGATAAACTAAATTATGCGTATGGCGTAATGGCAACACGATGCGTCTTCTTCAGCTTAGCTCTGGCACATGTTTGTCCAGTTGTGAGTTTCTTGGCATTTGCGTTGATGAACACGCTCTAGCAGTCGGTGAGCCGACTGGACTTGTTCTTCGTTCAAGTCACCCATGCACTGAACATAAGCAGGCTTGAAGTCGTCGATGCGGATTCCACCGTGGCACATGCAGTCGTGCACAATCTTGTGCGTTTCTTTGAACGTGTTCTGGCAGTCGGCGCTCAGCCTTAAAACAATGCGTAAGCGGACGTTGATGGCCAATGGTCACTAAATAAGTCAACTGACTTTTCGAAGCACTCTTTCCGGCCGCTGCAGAATGTGGCCAGCTTTTCCTCGAAATAGCTCTTCTTGCTTTCAATGCCTTGTTTCAAACACGATTCCACTTGCTGCTTGTTCTCCGGTGGGCAGATGGACGGATTGTCCACCGCATCTTTGAGGTGCATCATTGGGCCGCTAAAACATCGTGCTCCATCAGTAAACAGTTACGAGTGATAGTCGGTATCGTCTTTTACTCGCCACCAGGTGACGGTGGTGGAAGTGATTCACTCTCGGACTTCTCATAGGCGCTAAAGTCAAAGCCGGGAATCTTGCTGGCAACGCACTCTTGAACTTTCCCTGCCAGTGACTTGCTCGCCTCGTGCAAGCAGTGAACGACATGGGCCGCTTTGCTTTGCTCTCCGCCTACCATCGGATGGACGTCGCTGTCCAAGTGCAAACTTGGCTTCTGGCAACCGTTTCTGAAAGGCAACGGTAAATGTGCATTTACACTGTTTCCACGTCACAGGTAAGGGAACAGGCTCGCCGGTACTTACTGAGTGAAGCATTGGATAATGGCCGTTTTCCGCTCGCTGATTTCCTCGGGCGACGGCATAACGGTCTTAAGGACGTTATGCACACAGCCGTGATATGTGACGAAATCTGCTGTGCAGTCCGCCTGGGCTTTGCCAGCCAGAACCAGGGTGGCAAACAGTGAGAATACGGTAAGCATCATATATGACGGGTCCGAGGGAGAGAACGAATCCAACTGATGCTATGCCTTTCGCTACAACGCTGTCGCCTAGACCAAGACTTCCTTTATACTCTGTCTTAACCTACTTCTTGAGTCCAGTTTACCGACTGTGGTAAAAAAACGTTAATCAGCTTTTCGGCGATGCTGCTTGTCTTCGCATTTTGCCTCGCTCGTCGTGCGATACCTTCTTGGTTGGATACGTGTCTCATAAACAAGTCGGCGATGCTTGCTTCTGCTGGA